TTGTGGTGTTGCAGAAGTTATAGATAATTACAAACAATGACTGAATAATTACAAGAAAGACATAATAATCAAGTGTATTGCACATTGGCATCTAAATAATGACATTTAAATTAAATAACCTAATTAAAAAGACAATCAAGCTTTGGCACTTTTATTGTCCTAAAAATAAGTTCGATACGTATAATAATATGTAGTTAACAATAACCCCATGAGACCCCTTTGAGAGCACCGATCGCCGCTCTGACACACTGTATGATGGGAGCTGTCGATAACCGGACAGCGCCGAAAATGAACGAAGTCCGACTCGGGAAGCAGTATCGGAAAACATGGCGGCCAAGGCGCTCCGGCAGCGAACCAGGCGAGGAAGCAGACAAGATGCAAACAACGTGAACGTCCCCGCCGAGGCCCGGCCAGCGAAAGAGGAGAAAGGTGGAGATGAGAGTAAAACCACAGAGCCTCGACAAGAGTGAGTATGAGTGGGGGGAAGAGGAGGTCGAGTGGCCGGCGGTGTGAGCTCCATCCCCGGTGTGACTGACAGCCTGAGCCGGACGGGGGGAGGCTAGCTAGCTAGATAGCTACTTTGATTACGATAAGCAAGTTTCGATCACAACAACACGACAACAACAATTGATAAGGTCCACACACAAAAAAGCACACAGGGCTACGTTTGCAGCAGGTTGAACGATAATGGTGAAGTTGTGTTTCCGCCCCAGTAACTATAACTATATTAACTAACCCGGTTACCTGCTCAGCTTCATTCATTCTCCTAAAACTGTCACCCTGCCATGTTTGTGATCACCGAGGAGCGGTCAGAAAGTGGGTCAGCACACGGTCAGCACACGGACAGCAGGGTTTATTGTTACTGAGTTAGTGAGTGGTGTTGTTGTCGCTGAAGTTGATCTGAATTTGTTGTTGTTGACAGTTTTTAAGCTGACGTGTCGTAACAAAACGTAATCAATGCTGAGCTGCAGCTGGCTAATCTAACTAATCTGATGATGGGTGTGTGAACCAGAGGAAACACTGCTAGACAGTGTACTGATACTGTTTGTGTGTTTGTTTGTGTGTTTGTTTGTTTGTTTGTTTGTTTGTTGAGATCCCCATTAGCTTCTGTAGAACAGTCCCTATACTTCCTGGGGTCCACTCAGCTTACATGGTGACAATACTATTCTCACCTTCCTCTTCACAGTACACTGACACAACGCACATATACTGTAGATAAAACAATTCTCTTTAGACAAATACAAAAAGACTGATTGAATTTATCAGATGTTAACAAAAGATGTCCTTATGATCTAACAGATAAGTATCAGCATCTCACCAGATTGCCCAAAAGTACTTTTTATTACTTAATTTCATTTTAAGTAATCCTCTTTTAGCATTTAAAAAAAAAAAAACATATATATTATTTTGTTAAATAATATGATTAGGAACTGAATTCCACTCTAGCATTGCTCCGTTTATTACGGTATGTAAGTGAAACGACCTCCAGCAGCGTGCCTTGTACAATAACTGTGTATCTGTGCTATAAAGGTCTTTTATAAACATAAATGGGACTCTTTGTTTTTATGACATTCCTAATAAAAACCATCAGTGAATACACTAATCTATTTTAGAGAGACATTCATGCGTCCTAGAAACATTTGTTCCTCTACCACAACAAAGTACTACACGTGCCTCTTTACTCTGAACCAACTGTAATTTTCTGATATTACCCGGTGAAGTATTAGACCAAACTATTAATAATCCAATAAACAATAATCCAGGTTGTGAACGCTCGTGAAGTGGCCTTAAAATACTGTCTTCACCTACGATAAACTACCCTGAACAAGCACACAGCTGGAAGTGTTTTTCCACTCATAATGTGATAGCTGTTAATGTGATATTTATTTTTTTTGCTCATTGTAAACGACTAGAAACTGATAGCTATTGATTTAGGATTCCAGGGTTTATTTGTCACAGAGAGTGGATTACAGTGTGCTCTTATGGCTGTGCCAAAAAACGAATAATTAGAAAAAAAGTTAAGATTCTAGACCAAAATATATAAATGTATGTAAGATGCACATACGTCACAATTTTAAGGCAAACCGTAGAATATACTTTGTACAGGAGAGAATAATGTCGATATAATTGGAAATGGCATGACCTTGGTCTAATTATGTAAAATCAAAGTAAAATGATGCTACTACTACTACTAATGATAGTAACAGTGATAGTCACATGATTGTGTCAGTCAGGAAGAGCGAGGTGCTGATTTTAAAAAAGGAGGACAGTCGCTCAAGACAAATATAAAACTGAAATAATGTTTAAAACAAAACATTCAAGTACAACTTGAAACAGGGCAGAGCTACGAGCTGAAAACAAACAGATGCTAACTGCAAATACTGGAGCTGGAAGAGTAGTGGAGCACAAATGTGCAGCTGTGGAACTAATGATTAGTTTTAATAGGCACTTTGATACAGTAAGTGATAGTGCTCAGGCGTAGTTCAATTGTGTTCTCTGTGGGACAGTCTTTCAGTCTTTCCTCTGCTGTGAGCTCACATTTACTTTGTTTGTATTTAAGGGCATATTAATTAGCCAACTCTGAAATAATGACCATAATTGGGTTTTAATTGGTGTTGTATTAAAAGCAGGTGCACTGGAACCAACAATATAAGCCTGCATATGTTCAAATATATAGACAATTAAAAAGGCCGATATGCATTCATTAGTCTGCATTGTAAGCTCATATGGCTAATTAGAGTAAAATCAAGGTAATTTTCTATTAAATATGCTACTGTTTAAGTACATTGAGGTATAAGGTAGGAGCCCAGCGTTTTGATGTTTTATATATTTTGATGCTGAAATGACACCTGATAATAATGCATGTTATTGTAGGATATTTATCGAATGCGCCTCTGTGTAATTTCTTTTTAAAAATAGGTCAATAAGTCGTGGAGGGCAGGTGTGGGCTCCAGAAGGTTCAACTGCATTCAAATGCCTGCTCTCTGCACGTTTCTGTGCAGCTTTGCTCAGCAACATCTCAGACTGCGATGAAACCTTCAACTACTGGGAGCCCGTGAGTACAACCCACTACTATCAGAAATACTAAAGTGCAATATGCTGTTATTTGTCACATTTGTCCAGGGGTTTTCTAATATTTTAATGAGAATAATCTCTCTCTTCTCTTCTTTTAACTATCCATGTCTGTAATTGTTGTGAAGATGCACTACCTGCTGTACGGCACAGGGATGCAAACATGGGAATACTCTCCACTGTATGCCATCAGGTCATACGCTTACTTATGGCTACATGCTCTTCCTGCTTGTTTGCATGCCCATGTTCTACAGACAAACAAGGTAACTATTCCAAACTTGCTGTCATTTCAACATTTGTTTTTCTTGCTGATGTGTTCAAGTGACTTCAGTTGCCATGTGGCGTAATCAGCAGCTCTTTGGTTTTATTCTGTTATGAGAAGACTGTGCTTACCTAAAATGCAGGACAACAATATCCTGTTGTAGTATGTCAAAATCTGTACTTGTCAGTAAAGATCTGAAAAAAGGGATTAGTGAGGTGCTACTACATCTACGCAAAACCACATGCAAACACACACACAGACACACACACATACGTGTATCATTATATTGGAATATCTGCAGAAGTTTCAGGCTTGTGTTATGATTGTGTTGCAGGTGTTGGTGTTCTACTTTGTACGATGTGTCTTAGCATTCTCCTGCTGTGTCTGCGAACTCTATTTCTACAAGTGAGTTTACACTCTTCTGAAGTGCTTTGGCTTCCAGATTTTGTGCTCATTATATAGATATCTACATGCATATGCTGTGGAAGATGACCATTTGGTTTGTTTGTGTGTGACGCAGGGCGGTTTGTAAGAAGTTCGGTTTGCATGTGGGCCGTCTGATGTTGGCATTCCTCGTCCTGAGCACAGGAATGTTCTGCTCGTCTGCAGGTTGGTCAGATTTATTCATTTGTTATTCGTTTCATTCTCTGTTGTTATTTCTTACCAATTCTGTCAATCTATTTACTTACTTTACTTACTAATACTTTACTATTTACTTAAATACAATACATATATACTGACTGCCTTTCTAATTGCATCGTCTCGAATAACAAAAATATGGAGCAGAACTGCCATTTGGACAGTATATATTTTAGAAGGAACATTTTATATTTGTGATATATTTCTGGTATGCATGTTCAGATGAATAAGGCTTTGCATAGGTAACATACTGAGACTGTGACATGTGTCTATCACAGGTTGTCTTTAGCTGATCTGTTCTCCTCTTGTTGTTCTTTCTCCTCAGCCTTCCTGCCTTCCTCTTTCTGCATGTACACAACGCTGGTTGCCATGACAGGATGGTTTCAGGACTCAACCCCGTTAGCCATTACGGGTGTGGCTGCCGGTGCCATCGTTGGATGGCCGTTCTCTGCTCTGATTGGGTACGGTCGTGAAACTAAAATACCTACTTGTCTGCAATACGTTTTCCAGACAGACATATCAAAATAAATTGCTCTTAATACAGATTTGTTTTCTCTGCAGGCTCCCGATTGCCTTCGACCTGCTGGTGTTAAAGAGGCAGTGGAAAAGTTTTATCACCTGGTCTGCTGTTGCTCTGCTTCTGCTTCTGGTGTGAATATTTTTTAAATATCCATGTAAAACAAATAAGGGTTTAAATCTACATATTACATGACAATGGTGTATTTAGATGAGTTACAGTTTATCCTTTGTGTCTTTCTCAGGTACCCCTAGTGGCAGTGGACTCTTTCTTTTATGGCAAATTGGTCATTGCTCCACTCAATATTCTACTTTATAATGTCTTCACACCACATGGTCCAGATCTTTATGGTAATATACAATATAACAGCACACATCCTAATACATCATTTTATATCAAGTTGGCAGAAGATCCGTCGTAAAAATCCCTCAGTGTGTTATTTTTTAACATAGAACTCTTTTGGACTGACAGTGACATTTTTATAGTATTTAACTCAGCAGTAGTGATTGTCTGGCTGATGGAGCAAATGGATTTTAAATGAAAACATTTAAACAATTTAAAGCTGCACTGTTTCTATTGGACTTCAGAGGGCATACCAACATCAACACTAATCACATGAAGCCCTTTGAAAGTCTGCCAATAGGTGGTATTACCTTCTTCAAGTTTTAATCCACAGACAATAACAAAACATTGAGCCTCCATCATTATTCAGTGTTTTATCTGTAATAACAAATTCTCTGACTATTACCTCTGTGGATTTCCCCTTTTAAGTAACTCAGGCTGTTGTTGTTATTGTGATAGTCATGAGCTAGAATATTTTGCCTGTTTTGTTTGATTTTCAGGTACAGAGCCGTGGCATTTCTATTTTGCCAATGGGACCCTGAACTTCAACCTGGTGTTTGTTCTGGCACTGTTTTCTCTTCCACTCACTGCTCTCATGGAGACACTGTTACATAAGTTCAATGGTGAGGACTGAGGGAGTTTCATACACCAGTACTAAAATGTTGTCATTGCTTGCACTTTTTTGGGCAGTGGAAAGGGTGTTAGACGTCTGCTTTACCAGAACAATATGTGTAATAATAATAAGTAGTGTGGCGATGACGCACTCAGGTCCTTTCAGCTCATTGTCTTGGTGCTCTCCTGTTTACATTCATTAGTGCAGTTGCAACACGTTTTTTTTTGGAAACTGATTGAATGCTGATATGAGGAGGACTCAGATACAGGATATAAATAGTGGCTTGATAACATCATTATTGGCATATATGTGACATAAAGTTCTAGCAAAAACAAGACATTAATCTAACACATGTTAAAATAGTTGCCAAAGCAGCTCTTCTTGTGATTTCATGTGTGCACACGTGTGTTTTCTGCAGTGCAGAACCTGGGCCGTCCATACTGGCTGACTTTGTCTCCGATGTACCTGTGGATGTTGGTTTTCTTCACCAGACCTCATAAAGAAGAGCGTTTTCTCTTTCCCATCTACCCTCTTATCTGCCTCAGCGGGGCAGTAGCCCTTTCCTCTCTACAGGTGTGTTTTGCCATTTTGGCTTTGATACCAAAACAGTAGTCTGTGTTGAGCCCTATTTGCATGGGACTAGTTTTACCAGGTATTAATATTATTAGTTGTCTTCAGTTCAAGGCCCCATGCATGTAAGAGGAGTTTTCACAGATTACTTTTATTTCATACAGAAATGCTACCACTTCCTGTTCCAGCGGTACCGACTGGAACACTACACAGTCTCCTCCAACTGGTTGGCTCTAAGCGCAGTCGTGGTCTTCACAGTGCTGTCACTGTCTCGCTCTGTCGCCCTTTTCAAAGGTGCATGTACACACAGACAGTATTCTCCTAAACCCCAGTGTCAGAGAATGAAAAACTAATTTCAGTCATTTTAAACTGTTTAAACTTCGTTGTCTGTCTACAGGCTACCATGCCCCTCTGGACCTGTACCCAGAGTTCCACCGCATCGCCAAGGATCCCACTCTTCACTCAGTCCCTGAAGGGAGACCTGTTACTGTGTGTGTGGGCAAAGAGTGGTACCGCTTCCCAAGCAGCTTCCTTCTACCGCACAAGTCAGTATCAAGGATTCCTACACAGGTCTTTGATGTCTGTTGAAGAATGGAAAGTGTTTTTTGTTATTTCAATGTGTGACTGGGACTAAGTCAGTGCTTCTTTCTGATCTCCAGCTGGCAACTGCACTTCATTCAGTCTGAGTTTAAAGGGCAGCTGCCTCAGCCATACGCCTCTGGTCCACTGGCCACGCAAATCATCCCGGCTCATATGAATGACCAAAACCTGGAGGAGCCAACCAGATATGTGAGTCACACTCAGACACATGGTCGTTGGTTGTAGTTACTAGTTGTTGCATTTTAATTGTGAATCTTCTCCTCTGAGCAGACGGATATACGGCAGTGCCACTACTTAGTTGACCTGGACACAGATGAAGAGACGCCACTTGAGCCACGTTATTCAGCCAACAAAGAGGAGTGGAACATCATTGCCTATAAGCCTTTCCTTCAAACATCAAGGTATTTTCCCAAATGCATAATTTACATAAAAATAGAAACAAAATCATGGCTCTCAAATCTTTTAAAAATGTAATCCCAGTGTGTAGGATTTAATGGCATCTAGCGGTTTAGTTGCAGATCGCAACTCCCTTGCTTCACCCTCGGTGGACGGTGGATGAGAAAAAATGCCCCTCTGTACAGCAAGTGTTTGGTTTGTCCCTTCTGGGACAGGACTGTTCAGGTCATTAGAAACTAAGGAAAACATAGTTATGCATGTTATATCCAATTTCTACCCATAGATCCTCCTAAATCTTACACACTGTACCTCTCATTTATTGTAGCTCTTAGCTCAAAATACAAACAGGAAATAATAAGAAGTATCCTCTTGATATTCTTGTGATAGATCTTCAGTGTAAAGCAAATTACTTGAAAAAAATAAATAGATATGTAAATAATAACAGTATCTATTTTACAAACGCTTAAAAGAGACTTAAAAAACAAATTTCTCTCTCAGGTCATCTTCTCTCTTCAGAGCATTCTACATCCCATTTATATCAGACCATCACACCACCTACAGACGCTATGTCATCTTGAAACCAAGGCGGCAAAAGCAGCCTCGTAAGCGGACCCATGGCTGACCTTTGAACCTCAACCTGGCCCTAAATACAAAATATTAACAACAGAAATCAATCACTTCCCCTCCAAACAGCTGGTATTTGTGTGTGTGTGTGTGTGTGTGTGTGCCTGTGTGATTGTTGGGCACGTGTGGATGCATGTGTTTTGAAGTATTTGTCTCATGAAACAAGATATCAGACCCTTTAAGGACATTATGTCTGCTTTTGGGCTTGTGTGTGTGTGAAGAGATGTATGTATTGTATGTATGCAGGCGTGCTTGGCAGGTATCAGCTGAACCTGTATGTCAACATTTTATCTCAACTTGCGTGTGTGTGTTTGTCTGTGTGTAAACGAATGTCTTAGAGTGGATGCACACTACAAGATTTCACATGTATTTAACCCAGGACATGACATTACACACAAATAAGTGTTTTCTTTGTCATACTTCACTTGAAAATGTGGCCTGAATAGAAGATTTTTTTGTGAATAATTAATTGAAAGAAGTCTTGTAGTGTTTGCTTATCCGCACTTGAACAGTATCTCATTGTGTGCTGTGTCGGGTGTGAGTGGTGGAGATGAACGAAAGCGTGGTTGCGTTATTAATTTAACTTGGAATGTTAATAAAAACATGATTGACTACGAATACAACCCTTCTGTTTTTATTTGGACATTAAAATCAATGCAACCAACACGGATTCCAAGATTTCTTATGTAACAAACATACAAACCACTCTCGCTTACAGGAGAGATGTCAAGGCATTATACATTCTGAATAAATAATAAAGATGCTATATTTTATCATTCTCTTCAGTATCATGCCATTGCTGTGGTCAGGCTGCAGGCACTCAAGCTGAATTTAATGTATGAGCCACTTTTTCCACTTGTTAGCATTGTTTTTAGCTGACCTTGATTTACACAATAGGAGACGAAAGGCCATTAATAAATAAGGGAACAATCAGTCAATGAATATCAATTCAGGTTCTAGACATCTTAGAATTTAAGGCAAGTTTATGTCAAAACACATTTGCAGTACATAAAAATTTTCCAGCCTTGGCTGCCTCAAGCAGTATTGGTTAATTGTGTCTTCAAATCTGTTTGAGGTAGCCTGTTTATATCAACCAACCTGGGTATGATTATAACAATATTTTCAGACACAGCAAACACAAGGATCTAAGACGTCAATAGGTATCCTACCAAGCAAGGGCAGCATGACAAGGACATGCAAACAAGCTGCTACACAGGCTTGTGGACACTGTAAACGTCACTCATAATCACTCAGACGCTCCATGTGATTACTTGACAAAAGTCATCTGGATTGGGGTGGTATGCTAGTCTTGGCTAATGTAGCCTCGAGCCACTAGCCTCAAGTAGAGATGAAGAGCAGGCTGTCTTGTAAGATCACTTCTTTCTAACTCCAGTCTTCATTCATTTTCACACTTGTGGTCTTCGGCCCCAACCGGCGCTAACTTAAGTGACATCACTTGAGGCAGTGTATCAAATTTCTTGCAGCTCCCTCTGGAGCCGCAAAAGTTTATACTTTTTTCACATACGCAGCAGTACTCTCCAAGACTTGTAAACAGACTTTGATTTGTAAAATCGGTGGAGTTCCCCTTTAATATCTAATCTCAATATTCCTGTAATCTCAATATTCCAGATTACAAAAAGCTTTTTTTCCTCACTTGCCTATAGTGCTGCAGCGGCTAAACGTGCAGATAGTTGTGATTTTATTCGTCCAGGTTTTGTGATTTCTGCCGAAACCCCAACATAATAAAGGTGAATGGACTGCACTGAAAACTTTCATTAAAAAAAATCAGCACTAGTGTGTCTGTCTAGGAAATGTGTCCCTGATAATCCGTAGAATCTTTCTTAGAAAGTAGTTACAGGAAGTAGTTACAGTGAAAGCTGTACGTCTGTGAATTGTTTCTGGACATGTTGCTATTTATTCCTTAAACTGGGGTCGAGGCAGGACACAACTATCTGCATGATTAGACATAAAATCAGAAATTGTTTTGGGTAAAGTGATAATATCATTTTCATATAATGTTCATAATCCTACACAAATTAGTGAGATTACCACAAACTAAATGCCACATGGGTCTAGTCTACCATTGGGCAGCAGGTTCAATTGTGTGGCCAGTGACAAAATATAATTTGAGCATGTCCTCAATTGATTTTAATCCCTAAAAGCCATCAGAAACATCCGGCACACACAACTACAACCACGTAGGTGCACAGTTCTCTCATCCCTGTCCACAATTACACACTGTGCACACAGTAAAGGAGCTGTTTAGAGGATCAGTAGTTTTCTCTGTTGATCCATTCTTGTTCATTGAAGTATCTCCCTCTGCCATCAAGAGTCAGGCCATTTCTGTAGCAATCCAGATTTGCTTGGTAGGATTTTCGGTTTCCATAGGTTCCGAGGCTGGTTTGGTAAGTGTCTTCCTTGCCGCTGGTGACGTATGTCTGATAGAGGTCAGCCTTTACAGTGCGACTTCCAAGCCTCAGTTTGGGATCATAGAGGTCAGTCCCTCCTCTGATACTGCCATCATACAATCCATGATCCCCGTACACACTGCTTCCATAATGCTCACTCTTAGTTGTGCGTCGACCCAGACTTCTGTCATAAAACTCTCTGTGCCCGGTGCAACCAAGACTGCTGTCATTCATGTCCCTTTTTCCAGAGCGACCCAAGCTTGTGTCGTAGAAGGTGCCACGACGCCCAAGGCTGAGGTCATTGAGGTCAAAGTTGAGGAAGCAGCTCTCTGTGCTGGCAAGCGTCACGAAGCCGCTTTCAGTGTCCCGACCGCCCAGGTTGTCGTAGTCACCCGTCGGTGTATCAGGGGAGGAGCATAAAAAGGAGGTGTTTTTGGTGTGTGGGCGAGCTGAAACCAGGTCATCGTCCTTCTGGGAGCGAATGACGTTGTAGACGTCAGTCGGAGTCGCGCTGGGGCAGAGGCCCGGGTCTGTCTGGCATAATTCTGATTTCTGCTCTTTCCTCTTTCTGTCTCACACAGAAAGAAGCACAAACAACCAGACACCTCAAACATTAACTGAGAAACAAACATGAACCAGACAATGCGGTTTATAGGTTGTGGAGGAAGTGAATATAAAATTGGTGAAGCAATAAAAGTAGCAAAAACCTTAATTCCTCTGTGTCAAAGACCTCCACTGTTATTCAGAAACCATTGAAAACACATTAATGACTCACAACATTCACTGGGTGACTTGTTCCTTCTTTATGCTGAACATGGGCACTGTAGATTATTTTCAAACAAGTCCCACGTACATCGTCCTGCTTGTACTCAATAGCGTGTATTAATCCACCGATGAAAATAGTCTACAAATATAATATATATAATACTACAAATAGTGTAGTATTTTCTCTTGTTTGAGTAACGTTTGTTAAAAACTATAGTGCCTAGCTGTCTTAAGAAAACTTTGTAGACTTTTAGTCTTCATTCGGAAAAAATGGGCTGGGAGCTGAGTACCACAGATTGGGTAGGGAGGTCAGGAAGTATTGAGAGGCTAAGACTAAAACATTGGTTTTAGTCTTTTTATGGTATTTGTTAAGAATATTTAAAAATATATATATAGAAAAACACTGAATCAATCCTTTAAGTTTACCACTTAATGACACTGTTTGTAATCTTGCATTTTTTCTACAAAACAAAAATGTTAATTTTGACAACTGTATATTGGATATCGACACAGTGTTCGCTCTTGATGGCTGTAACTTATAGGTATTCCTATGAAAGGGTGAAGTGGGGTTTTTAATGATTTTAGTAAGGATATACCGTATACATACATACAGATTCGATAGTTCGATATAGTCAATATGCCATCTTGAGCTAATAACTCTTTCCCTTGGAGAAGATCTGGAAGAATCTGCTCTGTGATGACCATATTAATGTTTTAGTTACAGTTGATCAAAGGTCACTGTGATTGTTTGAAATCTTCAGAAACTTTAGTTGTCTTTAGTATTTAGTATTTGCCTTTGTTTTGGATCCTCACCGTCTGACAATCAGTTTGAAGCAGCAGACTCCAGTCACTGTCAGTAACAGCAGTATCAGAGGAATGGTGGGAATGATGATGTAAACCAAGTTCAGAGCTAAAAAAGAGACAGGGACAAAAAGAGATACAGATTTAGTGACTGTCATGTTGGCATTTGGATATGACAGCATCAGTGTAGTGAGTGTATACTGGGTCAGTCAACCTGTACTGTTATGGTTGTGGTCACTTGGATTCCATGGCACCACAGGTGAAGTGAAGACATCTGTAATGAAAATCATCCATGATTCATCCAAGTATCCAAAATGTCTGCTGAATCATATAACATTTTGATTTATTTATTATATTTTATTCATACTGAGCACATTTGTACTTGTTTGAGTGGAGTTGGGAGAAGGGGAAGGGTCGCCCGGCTTCTCTGTGGAGAGAATGAATCATGGTAAACGATGTTCAAGTAAATTCAAAGTAACAGAATATTAAAATACTGTGTCAGCGGTACCTGCAGTGTATTTGCAGATGAAGTTGTTCTTGGTTTCGCAATTGTCATCATTCCACTGGAACATGTAGAGCCCCCCCAGACCAGGAGGAGCGGACGGCTGGTGATACATCACAACACACACCTCATAGCCGCATGACGGCTCATCCCAATGCCAGTTCCTTCAACAAACACAGTAACTAAATAAACATAAAAAAGTCTTGTCTAGTCCTGATTAGACCAAGCCTGGTTATCAAACCTCAATACTTTACTGAAAGCTATTGAGTACTGAAACCCGGCATTAAATGTCAGATTTATTATCAGAGTTATTCTTTGAACAAATATGCATATATGAACATTTAGTGTAATTAAAATAAAATAAAAATGCCAAAGTTATTGTGCAGATGCTTGTGTTTAGACCCAACATTAGAGGTAGTCCCATAAATCAGCCAGGCTGGCATATCAGCCAATATTAGCTTATGGCAAATGTATCTGTATTGGCATTTATTTGTCTGATAAGTAATAAGAATTTGCTGTACAGAGATGTCAGAGATAATTTAAAAACAAGGAATCCTTATATAACATTTTTATGTTTTGTACTTTTAATTAATTAAACTTTTAAAATTGGTATTAATTGTGCTATTAATCTGCAGCTCTAAAATTCACTTTTGAACTCCCACCCACCTAAATGAGGACTTGCTGCCGTCCAACCAGTAGTACTGTGGGGAGCAGTCTGAGCTGCTATCCTCGTCTCCATGGTTACGGCGGAGGCCGATCCAGAAATCTCCATCGGTTGGGCGGAGCTCTGTGATGAGTTGCTCTATGATCTTCTGCTCAGATTCCGACTCCACGCTCAGCAGCTGCCCTCCGTCCCGTCTGCAGGCGAGCTCTGCCTCCACGAAGTTCAGCCTCCGCCGGAGCTCAGAGAAATAGGCCAGCTTGTAACACGGTTTCCCCTTTCCTGCCTTGCACACACGTTGACCTGCATCCACACACACACACAGACACACACACCTGATTACACGTGCCTGATATCCAAGCCAGATATATCACAAGCATCTATATTAGAGCACAGAATACAAGAATACAGTAGGAATTATGGGAATTCTGTACCCACAGCTATAGGGATAGAGTTAGTTGTAGAAGGCTTTTATAAATATTTTTAGGAGTGTGTTGCCTACCTCTGGCTTCGAATATGTCCGCTTCAAGAGCCAAACATCCAGCATAGAGTGAAGATGGCAGACCATAAGGAAACCAAAGATAGATCCACAATTGAATCAAGAGTTCATGTCTTTGTGCTGTGTTGTGTTTTTGGTGTTCAGCTTACCTGTAATGAGGCTTGTGGCTGCAGATGGATCAAAACATATAAGCAGGAGGTGACAGAAGATTGTGAGCAGGTCCATCTTCGTCAGTTACAGTTGGTTCACCACCACCTCTTGTATTTTAGTTTAGTCTTTTTCATTCCGCTGTCTGCTCATCTGGTCGTAAGTGGAGCTCAGGTGAAACTGGATAAACTCTGAGCTGTAGCTTAAGGTGAAAGAAAATGCTTTAGAAAAAAGTTGAAATTGAAAAGAGAAAGCAAAAGAGTAGCTAAACAAGCAAATCGCCTGTTCTATCTGCTAGAAGGGAGAGTGTGTGAGACAGAAGGAGGAGTAGGAAGAGGAGGAGAAAAGCCTCTGTGTGTTTGGGAGGGGGCTGTAATCTGTTAAGAGCAGTCCTAATGATTGGGAGAAGCGGGCGCATCGATCGCAAGACATCTAATCATGCAAGTGCTTCTCATAGTAAACGCTGACAAGAGGCAGATTTCACTCCTTCCTTTATTACTTAAGCTTTGGTATTATCATTACAAAAGTGTTACATGAAAATGATCTCCTCTAACTCGATCAGGAATATTTTATTGTAGCATTCTTCCCTTATTGTGTTTCAGTGCAAAGCAAGACAGATAGCTGACATCTCAAAGAGGAGGGGCAAGGTGTATCCTTTTTCTTTCCTCTATGATTAACGTCCCTGAAAGCTTGATTTCATATCTTTAATACTTTTCTGCAACACACAATATTTAAAACAAGTAAAAAGTTCAGAAATAAATATTCTTATCTCTCAAAACTTTAATCTGCTTCATCAGGTCTGTGTGGGTGTGGTTTGATTTGATTGACAGTGGCCTGGCAAGACAAGCAAACAACGCTATGACCTCACCTTTTTCCAACAGAGCCGTGCCCTCTCCAAACCAGCGAAAAGAGCACAGAAAAACACACAAATAGGTCTACAGAAAATGTGAAATAACCCATTTGGTCTTCAACAAAAATGTTGTGTTCATGTAGGGCTTCAACGCATTATTAAACAGAACTATGACAAAACCGAAAGCAATACTGGGGTGGGAAATTAATGACGTACAGTGAACAAGGCATATCTATCTAGGTACAGAATAGCAATGTTTTATACAAATAAAGGAATCACTTAATGTATTACATTTGTAGAATTTAAGAAAGGACAAATAATTCAGAATATGTCACGGACAGCATTTCACAAAGTTTATTAAATTTCCCCTGACTCAACAACTCACAAAATAAGGGAGTGTAGGGCTGCCTCAATCTCAAATTGCTTGTGCATGGTTTTTTCTCTGGAGGATCTTAATGAGGATAAAGAGAAGGCATTAAAAATACCAGGTGCAAACGCAAGATAGGATCATTGATTATCCGGATATCTGAATACAGATCCAATTTTAACACCAGAAAATGGGTCTAAAGGTTTGAAATTAAATTGAAAAATTATTTAAAAAATAAAGAATAAATCAGTCAATTTTTGATCACAAAACTATTCAGCCATTTCACATTCATTTCTGTAGTGCACAAGATATGCCATCTTGTTGTTATGATATAATCTAATTTAATTTAAAAGTAAAAAAGTAAAGGAATAATATTAGTTCAAACATTTTGGGGATTACCCTTTTTCACGTTCGTATTGAGAGATCAATACCACTCTCATGTCTGTATGGTAAATAAGCTAGAGAGCAGTCTTTGAGCTAAGCTGGGCGAACCGTCTTCTCACTGTAGCTTCATATTTACTGTAAAGACATGAGAGAGTTTGTAACCAACCCCTCATCAACACTTGTCAAGAAAGGGAAAAAAACATATTTCCCAAAATGTTGAACCATAGCCTTCAACTGTAAACCAGCTTAAACACAAACCATCCACATAATTATTAAAAGAAGGCAAACAGCCAAAAGAGATACATGTTAATTTCTGAGCTTTAGAGTTGCTGGTAGGTGGATTTTTTTTCCATTTTGGCAGAGCCAGACTATCAGTCTTCTCCTCAACTCTCTGTAACGAAATGAATAGGCCATATTTTCCAAGATTTAAACTTTTCTTTTAAGATTGTAAATCAGAATGAACAAATAAGTAAATAGCCTTTGTTGACAAGTTTAATTTAATATCAGAAATGCACTCTGCACACTGTATATTTGATATTACAGTTTAATAACAAGGGAGCTTCCCATCGATATAATGGCATCTATATAATTTCATATTAAAGCGCCGGCATCAGCAGAAGAAGCCATGGATGCATGTGAGCATGACCCGCTTTTCTGAGTACAAATGGGGGAAAAGTGTATGTATGCAGTTCTTAATGGTAGTAATTTCTAAAATGGCCCATAAGGTTGATTTAGGACTTGCAGAGAGACAGATCAGCCAGAGTTTAAACAGCAGGATGCTTCATCAGGAATATGCTGTGTGTGCTGTGTTCAACAGGGGAGTGAAGGTGGTGGGGTGGGTTGTGAGGCTGCCCTGAATATACTGTCTGCATGCACGCTGCTCTATCCAAACACGGCTAATCAGCTTAGATGTAACAGATTGATTTCAGTCAAAGGGCTTCAGCTTCATTTAAACTGAAGGAGGGGTACAGGATGTTGTCATTAGCAGGTGATGCTCTGAAAAGACAAGACAGAGAGGTAACCGAGTCCTCCGGAGGGATTTAATAAGAATGGTCTTCGTTTTAAATTTCCTCCTTGTTTACAGCCTCTGAGACCAAGAGAGGCTTTCATTCAATTAAGCCTCTCCCATTCGTCCCTCCTCTCACACAGTCTGTCTTCCTCTGCCTCTGCCGCCTCCTCTCATCCCACTGACCTCCTCCCTCTCTCCCAATTAGTTAAAGGGAAACCAGATGAATGTTCCCATGGGAAGCCGGTACATCACTGACCTCACAGACACATACTGACACTCCCTCACACAAAAGGTACGCATTTCACCATGTCAGAGAAACCTGACATTGATGTGGAAAATTCCCCACTCTTCTTTGATGTTTTGGTAGTAAAGAGAATAGCTAAATATTAATTTTCACTAAGATGATGCCTGACAGCGTATTGGTCAATAGATCATCGTTACAAAGTAAAATAACATGATTTGAAGCCATAAACTTGCTCTGACCACAACAAATCATTTGTAATGCAATGGCCTTTTTGTTTGTGGGCTGTAAAGACACAGCAATGAATGGCAAGCTCAGTTCATTTCCATCTCACAACCTGAAAGAGAAAGAAAATAACTTAATTACTCACCAAAAAAAGAACTTAACTTTCCACTAAATTCAGTTTGAATGATCTGAGTTGGCATGCTGCCAGACTGAGTGTCCGCATTGCGCAGGCCTGCACACAGAGCTGGAAATGAGCCCTGAGTCACTGACCTGAGGGGGAGCTGGACGGCTCCATCAGCAGAGCTGATCCATAAAAGAGTTTTGATGAAACCTTTTAAGTGCTGTAGTAATTCTTTTAGTCATTTCTTTTTTTAAGCAAGTTTGGAAAAGGCCTGAGAGAAGGATATTGTCTAATGACTATTGATTGAGAATGCATAAACCTTGTGTCATGTAACCTTTTTTCTTCAAATTATATGATAAATCTCTGTTTTCTAAATAAAAGGCCCCTCTTCCAGTCCTTTTATTTTAACACTATATACAGTCAACAGCATACAGACTTGTATTTAAATATATTCACACTGCACTCACCTATCTGTACTGCAGCCGTAATGCTACACCCATCTAAGAAGATTCTGTCATGGACTCTTCTGCACACTAGTGTCAGTTCATATGGTGGTCGTCATTTATGAGAGTTGATGTCTGGTTTGTTAGTTTGGTTGAACCTTCAAATCTGTCATTTGTTTTTGCTGTGATGGTCCAAGATTGAGACAATGTGGATGCAATTTCATTATAGGTAACGTCATATTACATTATCAATAAACTGTATCATGGTACAGCCTAGTATTATTTCAGTTTTGCAAAATGAATGAATGAATGTACAAGAACTGTTTATGGGTGACATGAACAGACAGGAATGACACTGATTGAATTTATTACCTTTACAAATGAAGGTAAATTATCACTGTACAAAAATCATATACTCAATATTGCAACATTTATAGCACGGTATAAACATTATAGTGAAATCTCTAACAGTAGACAAGTGTATATCGTCTCACTGTATACTGCCATACTACCATGATCGAGGGTGTTAACCATTTAGATGAGCTTTTCTTCAAAAACACCAAGACACAGGTTCATTTTGATTTATTACAAACTTTACATACTGGTTGATCACTGAAAATACTGGATGACTGATGAAGTACAGAACAGCATAACTGATAACTATTAATATTATAATTGTGCAATTTGCTATTGTATGTTCTTAACTGGAAAACAAATTACACTATGCAAATGCATTTAGCTCTCCAAAAATGTAAGTGGTGCATAATCATCCTGGTCGTCATTTGCAAGGATAGATTTAAGAAAAGGAACAACTCTGAATAGATTAATATGGAAATCTCTGGAGGTGTCATCTGACTCGACGACACCACCCGCCCTGCACAGAGTCTTTGTTCCCCAGCTGACCAATGCAATCTGTGAAAGAAATGATTGGTTACTACCACCAGGTGATACTCATTTGGGATGGAAAAGAATGGCTGTTCTGTACCTGTATTGTGCGATGCTCGTAGTTCTTGAACACAGCACCTCCAGAGTCACCTGTCACAACAAATACACACACACACACCCAAAATAATGGGCCTCAGTTACCGATCTCGAATAAAAAACAAAAACTTTCATGCCTCCCATGACATGATAGAAAGGAATATTCTGGGGTGTTTTACCATTTTCCTAACTTACCCTGAATCAGACAAAGACATAGCTGCTTCTCTAATGTGTCTGCATGTTATTTACTATGAAATTAGCTCAATTCAAGGATGATTGCTGGGTAACGAGCATGTCCGCTTGAAGTGTGGAGTTCACTTTTATACAAAGAGGGAACATACCTGTACACGCTATGTGATCTCTGAAAGGAGTCCGACCACCAGTGCACAGGAAGTTATCAGTCACAACGTCCGTTACAACATCAGTGTCAATGCCTGGTGCCTGTAGTGCATGTCTGATGCATCCAGCTCTCTGCATTGAAGTTGAAAGAAGAACCAAAGTGACTTTGAGTAAAAAAGAAAATTAAGAAAGCAGGCACACATTGATCATTGAAACAATAAATATTTAAAACTCACATTAGTGCCAAGCTTAGCATGGACATCTTTTTCATCTACTATGTTTTCTGTTCTGGTCAGGAAAGTGAGTCTTTCAATATGTTCTTTTAACAGTAGCTGCTCTGTATGAACAGAACACAAAATATTAATTGTATTTGAAGCTCCAGTGATATTTTATTT